GAAACAACGGTAACCAATACATGCACAGCTTTCAACAACAGTGTCAAACCCATTTGCACACAACAAAACACATGAACATTGGCGGCCGGTCAGGGGCACCACAAAATTTAATGACTATGTTGCACTTTGAACCTGTGTCCATGAATACTTCATGATGATTTACTTAATGTGCAACTGCACAGTAATTATTTTAAACACTGAAAGATTATTATAAGAGTCCACAAGTCATATCAGAGTTTTCTGATGACTACATATGTGATTTCCTGTTCTTGCCAGTGACAGCAGTGAGAATATGGTCAACTCACTGCAGTCAGATTATAGCAGATGGTATAATCCATGGTAAATAATCATAAGAACAAACTTGTTCTCAACTTGTTTTGAATTCACTCACTTCACTGGCAACGAATTTAAACCCCACACAATTAACAGCGTCTCTCCTGAATATGTCAGGTTGAGTTTTAGAGAGTGGACCCCAAAGATTCAGGGTCGTTGCTATTCTCAGTGTTTCATCTCCTGCTCTCTTTGTCAGGCCTGAACCAAACTGTCAATTTGTGTGTTAATGAATGTGTGTGGGTCTTCTGAAGGCCCACACCTGGTTGCTGATAGGGAAGAACACTGGGTGCAGCAAGAACACACACAGCTGTACACTAATTCTGTGACTCCTTCCAAAGTCAACTCCAGACGGAGATGTTGTAACGTGAGACCCGCTGTGATGGTGGGCTCACTGCTGGGGGTTTCTCCTCACACACTGCTGAGACCATGGGTTCGCTGTGAGCGTCTCGTCACCACTAGCACTTGTGTTTGCTGATCTTCCTGTCTGTCCCACCTGCAGACTTTAGTCCTGCACAAAGAGAGGTCAAAGATTCTGGAGAAATGCTTTTTATTTTGACCTCCTAAAATGCAAGCACAGCCAGACTCAAAGACAAACTACTGAGCTTTGGGGAAAATATGGCAGCTGTTTGTTTTATGTGTTTGTTGCCGTTTTGGTGTCCAGCTATTTTTCTCTCTTTTTTTAATCAGACTTGGCGCTGCCTCAGAGTTGGACTGTGGTACCGTGGGGACAAAATGTGATGTTGTTGATGCTGTTGATGCTTTTTGCTGATGAACAAGATGTCTCGCTCTTTAACTGGGAAAAGTAGTGCTCAGGGTGTGTGTGTGTTGTGTCTGTATATACCCAGGACTTATTGTCTTGTGTTTCATAAAATAAAACAAAGTAGAAGAAATTTGACTTCATTGCTATTACATTATACAAACTCTGCATTAACTTGTTCACAAACAAACCCCTTTAAGGGCAGTTGTGTTGTGTTTATGGTGAAGTTGTCTATAAGCAGAACATTGTTTGAGAATTTTGTGGTTTTAAAGAATTTTTACAGCTGAAATAACAGTTAGCTGCAAAGACGAAGTCTGTTTTGAAGACCAGTATTCAATTCACATTGTCATTTTCAAAGCCTTCCCTATTGTAAGTATGAGCTCATTCATTCAGTGAGTTCTGCTACACACAGATAACATAGACAGCATGAATGAAGTTTGTATTATTCTGACATGCAGACAACTGTGCCCAGCCTGCATGGGCTTAGAAAACACCATACTTTTGTATAAGCCAGAGTCAAAGTGCTGCATGCACATTTGAAAACATAAAAACATAGAAAAACATTCACTAGCAAATATTCAGACTTTCATTATATGCCACAAACTTCATGATTCAAAAATATTGACTGTACAGTATGTTTTTGGGGCAGTTAGCGAATTTAAACACATGACAGTTAAACAACTATTTCAAGGTTTGTTCATTCTTTTTTATGGCAAATTAACTCTCTTAAATCATTATAGTGTGTACAGCTTTCTTTCTTACCCAAATCACACCTCATGAATATTTTTAAATCTACCTTAATGGCCAGAGGCAGCATACACTGTAAGTAGACCATAGTTCTTTAAACATCAATAAAAACAATAAAAACACACATAAAGGATAAGGCCAGTCATTATCTATATTAACAGTATTTTCAACACTCCCCATACAGAGACTAAAACCAACAATGATTTGCCTCTATTCACTGTTAGCGGCTCTCGGTCTGTCGGTCTTGGATCAGCTTATTCGTCAGTGCCATAGATCACCACCGTTGTTCAAAAGTGGTTAAAAACACATCAGGGAAACACAGTGCTCCACTGAGTGACAGGCTTCAGATCACTTCACATTTCTGTTGTATTGACTCTGGTACTTAACACTTCCTTGAAGTTCCAGAATGGAAGCAAATCTATGCAAAATAACCAAAGTTATTACCTAATTTTAGTTTGCAAATGACTCATTCTAGAGCAGCAAATCACACTGTCTGTCTTTACTATGGTCTACAAGTATCTGTGTTCACATTTTACAGAAAGTGTATTCATGAATTCAGTTAGTTGTATTTAGTTTTCTGCAACAGCATGAGTCTGTTCATGTGCACCCAGCAAACACACATCCAGACAGACAGAACTACACAAGAGGTCAGGAGAGAGGGGCCATCTGATGCCAGCAGATGGAGTGATGGAGGAGGGCAGAGAAGCAAGTGGAAGCTGGAAATGAGGACGACAAGGCCAAATGCTTATGGGCTGTTGTTAAGGCACTCATTTCACTTTGCATCCTGTCTGCTCCAGCACACCCACCTTATGTTAGACTTCAGGGTGGAGGAGAACATATTTTACAGAAAATGTTCGGTAACTGTGAATGTGAAACATGAATATTTCAACCCAATAAGATTATTTGGTACTGAAGGAAATACAGTGAGCAACAGAATGTTATTTGTCTCCCCATCCACTTCTAACTGATGCTGGCAAAAGAGACGTGTTTTAATATGCCCAGTGCAGTTGTTGGAGTTGGCGGCGCAGCACTGTCTCAGGAACACACTGGCCTTCCTGGCACCTGAAGTCACTTCTGTCTCTTTCTGTGTCTTTGGTGTAGAATGGCGCAGTTCCAGGTGAGCCAGTGAAGAAGGATGAAAACACCCGGAGAGGGAACTGGGGCAACCAGATTGAGTTTATCCTGACCAGTGTGGGCTACGCTGTGGGCCTGGGCAACGTCTGGAGGTTTCCCTACCTGTGCTACAGAAATGGAGGAGGTATTCACAATACAGAGCCTAGCTCATTTGTTTTGGCTTATTAGTGGTTTTGTTTATTATTGCTGGCCAATTTGGCATATATGGCATAGCATAAATATGAAGTACAGTACAGATGCTTAAAAGTACATTACATAAAACACTATAGAGAAACTGAGTGATTAGTTGATAACCAGGAACATGTGCAAAGCTGATAACTTAGGGTTGAGAGGTTAATGTATCCACTGGACTTTGGAATCTAAGTTACTTACTGTTGTGGACTCTATTGATGAAGTGTTAGTAGTCCAGCAGCAGCAGGGGCCTGTACCACAAAGTGAGCTCAACTTTGGCTGGCTATCTTTGAGTAATCTGGCTTCACTGGGTCTAATACTGGGCTTTTTCATCCTGCTGTGAGTGTATTCATGTGAGGTTGACTTGGTAATTAAAAGCAACATTTTCTCGGATTTGTTCAGACAATGGTCGAGCTGTTGACAGATTTTGATCAGATCTTGTTCAGAATCAACCTGCTCTGGAGCAAATTAGCCATGTACCATGGAGCCAGCTTTGTGGTAGCAGACCAACCCACTAATCTCACTTAGACTCTAGAGAACCTCACTGTAAAACCATCCATATACAAGAACAAATACACAGTAAGGATGAAATTTTGTCTTAACATTTAAGCAGTGTAAAACTAAAGAACAATAAAATTAGATACAGTATCTTGGAAATACGTCAAATGTAAATGTAACAACTAATGTGTTGAGCACCTTAATCAATGCAGCAGTCTTCACCAGCTGCATGTGGCTCATACGTTATGTATATAACTGCAACCCAAAGTATTTTTTTTAATTATAAAGTCTAGTTTGGTTTAACTATATTGTTGTTTTTTGGGCTGTGAATACTGTCAAGATGTGTCTGAGTACACAGAATGGATCCAGATGCTGCCGCTTTAGTGCTGCTGATCTGCACTGTTCGCTATACAGCTTCTGCATTCAAGGCGTAAGAACAGAAGAGCAAAATATATTCAAGCTCTGTTGCTGTCAGTTTGTTTCTTTTCCTCTTAGTCGGTCCTAAAATGTCTAGATTAAATAAGTTAAAGGTTCTCAGTACATTTGTATCCTGCTTAGAGTTTTTACAGGAAAAGTATCAAAGCAAAGTGAAAGTCAGTCAGTTTGGTCAAAGTTCTATAGCTATATTATTCAGACCTTTTCTTGGCATCACCAACACTTCAGTTTATCTTTTTACACTGCAAATATCTGGATTAGATACACATGTAGGAGACCATGATTTCCCATACATTACGTCACTCATCGCTGTAGATAGACAGGACAGCTGAGCTTCACCAGCAACTCACACACACTGATGATGTTTTGGTACTGTACAATCTCAGCTGGTTGTGCCAGCCTAGTTCACATATGGACAGTCATATGAAAGCACACACACACACACACCAGACATTCCCTACAGATGATTGTTTGGTTTCTTGTCCAGTGTGAATCACGAGAGAGTTGCTGAACCACTGAATAGACTCAGTGACCGCTCTGGGGAGGTTACTATAACAGATGAGGTTCATGTGTTTTGCTTGTTTTTTTTGTTTGTTTCTTTAGTTTTTTCCCCCAGATTGCAATATTCTTTGTATTTTTATGTAGCTCTTATGATCAAATGACATAAGTCTAATTTATGTAGCAATGTGATAAATGGTTGGTTAGGATAAATGTATTGTTTTTACTCATAATGTATGTAGCATTTCTATAGTATTATGGAATTTGTCTATCTTACCTGTGATTTTTCCCTGTACTGTATCTTGTAGACAGAAATTATACAATGATACCTTTATACAATACTTGGTCACCATCAGCCTGTCATGTCTGACAACTCTTTTTCTGTTGGTCCCAACACCTCCACATGCCCCGACTCACCATCCTCATTCAGCTGAAGAGAGGAAACTGATGTTATATGTGTTTGGACAAATGTTGAAAAGCATATAATAGCAGATCATAATTCCATGACAATGACTGAGATTTTGTCCTGTTATTTCTCCCTTCCAGGTGCTTTCATGCTACCATACTTTGTCATGCTGGTGTTCTGCGGCTTTCCTCTCTTCTTCCTTGAGCTGTCGTTCGGTCAGTTCGCAAGCCTGGGGTGTCTGGGAGTCTGGAAGATCAGCCCTATGTTCAAAGGTTAGTGGCTCAGTACTGGTAAATCTATTATTTGCTTTACTTTCAAGTTCTTCTATTTTCTTTCTCCATCTTGTCTCTTCCTCCCTTCAGGTGTGGGCTATGGCATGATGGTGGTGTCCACTTACATTGGGATCTATTACAACGTGGTCATTTGCATCGCCTTCTACTACTTTTTTTTGTCAATGACAAACCTGTTGCCGTGGACCTACTGCAACAACCCCTGGAACACGCCAGACTGCAGCGGAGTGGTAGGCACTGGCCACCAGCTCAACGGCAGCCTGGCTAACACCACCACCAGCCTGGCAGCAGGAGTGTCTGAGGCAGTGAACCGCACCAAAAGGACAAGCCCAAGTGAAGAGTACTGGAAGTAAGTACTGCAAGTGGAAACTGGGTAATACAGTAGCAGACGTAGCATTTTTATTATTATTATTTGGAATGATTTGTTTATATGATTAAAGTCAAAGCGGTTTTATGGTTTAATTCACTGATTTAAAGTAGGTCTTGTTCAACAGTGACAGAGGACATAAAGTAATTTAGCACATTGTAAATTGACTTGAGTAGGTAAACACTATGCTGGGTTGCTTTTTATGCATCTGCACTTTAAAATCCCAGTAATCTGATTGGTGTACTGGTGTAAAAGGTAATAACATTCAGGAAGTGCAACATTCTGTTTTAACCAACTACATTTGATTAGATTTTTTTACCTTTCAAACTAGATTTTTTATGTTCTAATACTGCACCTGCATTACAAAATGTCATAACTGCAGAAACGTCAGGAAAAATGTTCCAAAAAGGCCCGACCGCCTTAACTTGGCACTGTCTCTACAGATACAGTACATTTGCAACATCCCTGTTACAAGTGTTTCACATTTTTAAAAATCACTTTATCATAAGACTGGCTATGCATGGATTGCTTTTATAATGCAGTTTATTTGATAAGTTTTACTAACTTATGCAAGTAACCTCTGTGGAGTCTGTGTATCATATTTGACAAAAGGTTCAAATTTGACTTGTACCTGTAAGATACGCTTGCTTTAAACTTGCCCTGCATTTACAGAAAGCAATGATTTAACTGTAAGTACATCAGCCTTTGGGAGTCATAAGAAGTGACTTGCAGGAGGTTTCTCATATTATTATTCAGTCTTTTTAACTTCTCTATCAGCTGTTTTTAATGGTGGAACTAGGATGATCAGCATAATGTGCTATGTGAGGTAAAAGTCAGTTTCCAAGTCCAAGTTCATATATTCACATAGCAGCAGTTGCACTATGTAATTAAGTGTTTCGTAATGTGAAACATAAATCAGTGGGATGTGATCAACTATTCTCTCAGTCACATTATACTTCTGGATGAATGGATAAGATGGATGATCCGTATGGATGAGAGAAGACAGCAAGAGAGGGGATAGAAATGAGACAACTGTAAATGTCTCAAGATTTTTCACTGTGGACTGTCTCCGGTTGTCACGGCTCCACCAGGACAGTGCATTGCTACTTTGATTAATTTAATGTGCGAGAATTACATTCCTTTCTGTGGTCATTTCAGAGCAGACTGCAGTTGTTTGCACATGACTGAATCAGGGTGCCCACAGTGGACCATCATGTGTAATGGATATGCATTTCAGGTATAAAATGCATATCCATCCTGCGGCTTTCAGCTAACTGTGAGAATGTAATCAACTGTGGTTAAAGTGCAGCAGCAGCTGATAATGTTCAGAACTACCCACAAATCTTCAGCTCAGTACAAACAACTTCAGCTATTATAATTTCATTATACATTTTATGTCAATCTAAATATGTCTCTTGGTTGGAAAGTGGTAAATTCAAAGGTGGATATTTACTGGGGTTTTGCAGTTCATTTGTGGCACTAAACTGAGAAACTGCATCTGTTCTTATTAACCAAAAATTCACAGTGGGGTTCTGTACTAGAAAGAAAGAAGTGGTACCACTGGAAGTAGTGCATATGGTCTCTTGCAATATGCATTTTTAGGTGTTGCCGTTCAAGGAAACAAAATCATTCCCTCAGTAGGCTACCTGATTTACCACTGCTGTGGCACACTGAACTGCAGCTGATACTAAAGGTTTGGGAAAAAAGCTTCAAATTTGCAGCACTGCTTTCAGCATTGCAGCTGTTATTCATCTGAGACATCTTTGGTATTAATAGCACATTTGTGGAAAGAGAGAATGTTTCTAAATCACATCTCTCTTTTTGGGATGCCAGAGGAGAATGTGATGGATTTTACAAGCTTCTAAGTCACACCATTTTTTGATAACTGAACTAAATGAAGGACAATTTGACCGGCAGTGAATTACATGTTTGTTGGTTTCTTCAACCAATGTTAAGGTTCAATAGCAGTAAACTTACACTTTCTTCTGCACCCCTCTCAGTTCACACATGTGCAATACAGGCAGCAGCACATTGAATTTAATAGCTGCAGCTGTGCTCATTCACATCATTAGTGTTTGTAATTACACAGCTAAATTACCTGATGGTAATTTGCAACAGGTTTTGTAAAAACCCCCAAAGCTGTTTTGTTGCTTGTCATTCATTTGTCACATTCCTGACAAATATTTGCTTTTCTTACTGATGGAATAAACAAATGTCACTGTCAACAGTGACAAGCTGAAAACTGTTCTGCAGCCAAAGCCACACTTCACCAAAATACCCTGACTTTGCATCATGATACATTATTGCCCTTGTCGTTACACCACAGTGGCATGTACTTGCACTGCATATGAAGTCACCAAAGGGATGGGCAAAGTACATTTAAACGTCAAGACAAAACTAAAGTCACGGCACTGCTCTTACCCAGCTGTGCAGAATGTGAGGATAATCTGAGCTGACAGTTTATTATCAAGCACAAACAAAATCATATTTCTAGTATTTATTGTATATTTCATTTTAATGGCATTGTCTTTCAAAATGAAGGTCCAATATGGGATAAACAAGAGGTATGCTTGTTTTGATAAGAGGTTATTCACTGGCTTCAGCTGTATGTGTCACATAACACAGGCTGTAATTCACTTTACATTCCTGCCTGGTTTCACATAATGTTTGTAACTGTTTTATTCCACTGAGACCATCAAATTTCAGATGTTGATGTAAAATGCTCCAATTCTAACTACATCAAACCTCTGTAACAACACTAAAGCTATGCTATTTAGCCTTGTTGAGGTAGATCATACTCTCTTGTGTATGGATAAAGGGCACCAAAATGTCACTAGCAATACTACAGAGTAATAATAATACAGTAGAACAACAGCGTTCTGTGGACATGTATGACCACTCCTGCAAGTAACACTTTTTTTGGGTATTTGCTTTTAAAATCAGTATCAGCATCGTAAGCCAAACTTGCAAATCCAAAGTATTTATCTGAACCTCTCTCTCTGTCTTTCTTTCTCTTCCTGTGTCTGCCTGTCGCTCTTTCTCTCAGACACTATGTGTTGAACATCTCTGACGATATTGGGAACTTTGGCGAGGTCCGTCTCCCTATTCTGGGCTGCCTGGCTGTGTCCTGGTGTGTCGTCTTTCTCTGTCTCATCAGGGGTGTTAAATCCTCTGGAAAGGTCAGCCTCACACACACACACACCTACACATTCAATTCAATTCAGTTCAATTCAATTTTATTTATACAGCGCCAAATCACAACAAAAGTCATCCCCAGTGCAAAGTAAGGTCTGGACCTTACTATTATTATTATTGTTATAGAGGAAAAACACAACAAATCCCCCTTGAGTGGTTTACATACTCTTACCTGTATATAGAGAATGTGAAGGTACGTCATGCCATGTTGAATGTTGGGATGGGGGTGCCATTTTTATAGGGAGACGCTGTATATACCTGCATACTTTCTTGTTTTCCTTGGCTAAAAAGTTGCTTAAATCATCTCACTTTACTGACTGTGGTAATTCAAAATGGATAACCTTAGCTGAGTGTAGCTAACTCGCAGCAAACCTAGAGATCTCGTTGATATGAGCAAAAGATTGAAAAATTGAGTCTGCATCCTGATCTCAGCTCCGCTCAGCTCTCGGTTCGGTAGCTAACTCTAGCTATCAACTGTTGGCAGATAATGCAAACTCTGCAGACCTCTGTCCAATTTCTGTCCTGCCTTTGCTAAGACTGAGCATTAAAGTGGATGTTTGGACATAGTTGAAGCATTTGCTACTGTATGTAGCTGTTTGGGATAGTATTTATTAGAACTTATTGATATATGTAGTGTATATGGTCCCAAAATGGTGCATTTACCCTAAATTCATCACAGCATGATAACTTTTTCTATAGATGAGGGTTAACCATAGGCAGATATTCATGTCATTTAATACGCACATACAGTATACACCAGTCAGCATTAACATTATGACCACTTGTCTGACACTGTGTGCACAGGAGTCAATGCAGCAGCTGTTTGGCACTCATGGGACTCTGCAGCTCACTATGCATGTTCTGTCAATCTGTTTGCTTCCATAGTTCTAATCTCAGGAAAAGCATGATTTTGTCTACCATTCATTGGGAAACCTATGTAAAAGAAGTGAAAACTGTGGTCATGAGGACAAGTTAGAGATAACTTTTTAGACTAATTCAACAGCCTCACTGCTCTAAGTGTGATATCACCACTACAGCCCCTGACTCTTTCTCTTCATAGAGACCAATGTACAGTATTTCTCATTTTCAACCATTTTAACAAAGATTCAAATCAATTTTAATCTTGTGAAAAGTACAAATGGAAGTTAAAAGTTTAATCTACAGTAGGTCAACCTCATCATCAGTGAGCCGTGGGCGTCCATGACCCTGTCACCATTCCACTCTCTGTCCCTCCTTAGTCCACTGTTGGTAGATACTAACCAGTGCAAACCAAGAACACCCACCAAGACCTGCAGTCTGGGAGATGATCTGACCCAGTCATCTCACCATCACAATTTGACCCTTATCAAAGTCACTCAGATCGTTACACGTGTCTGTTTTTCCTGCTTCCAACACATCAACTTGGATGACTTAATGTTCACTTGCTGCCTAATATACTCCACATGCTGACAGGTGCCACTGTAACAGATAGTCAGTGTTATTCACTTCACCTGTCAGTGGTCATAATGTTATGGCTGATCAGTGTATAGTATGCAGCATTTTAAGCTCTCGTCACTTTGCCATAAAATACCACAATTTTCAACTGCTTTCACCACTTTGTTTGTTTGTGTGTGCGTGTGTGTGTGTGTGTGTGTGTGTGTGTGTGTGCATGCCCAGGTGGTGTACTTCACAGCCACATTCCCCTATGTGGTTTTGACCATCTTGTTCATCCGTGGAATCACCCTGGACGGAGCCATCAACGGCATCAAGTACTACCTGACTCCACAGTGGCATATGGTCCTTGATGCAAAGGTATTCATTCACATAAACAGGCAGGCGGACAGATAAAATGTTTATAGAAATGGATCTTTTTCCTTCTTTTTTCTGCTGACTAAACACAGGCTTGTTTTTGTAGGTGTGGGGAGATGCTGCATCACAGATTTTCTACTCCCTGGGCTGTGCCTGGGGCGGTCTCATTACCATGGCTTCCTATAACAAGTTCCACAACAACTGCTTCAGGTTGGTACTTCAGACTATGGATAAACAAAAAAACTTAAAAGATTTTAGAAAATATCCTTCTTCTCGTTCTTACAGAAAGTTAGATGAGAAGATTGATATCAGTTTCATGTCTTCACAGAAAACACGATGCTAAATCCAGGAGATTGTTATCTTAGCTTAGCATTAAGATGGGAATCAGCTAGCCTGGCTCTATCTGAGGGTAAAAAATACACTTACTTGTACCTCTAAAGGTCAATTTTAGCTTAATATATCTGGGTTTTGTAATACCTACAAATGCCTAGTGCAAGGTGCTATGTGCCAGACAATTTCTTACCTGTAACATTTTTTTGTTTTTGTACAGTGTGTCTTTTTACTTTTGCACTGACCCAAGCTTAGGATTGTCCCCTTCAGACTGGCCTACCAAAGTCTATCTGTAGTTGCCATTACATAAGGCCTGTGGCACACTGTACAAGCCCATGTTGATTCAAAATGGCACGATCCCATATTATAAGGGACAGGTGGCAACTCTAACCAAGCGTACTCTCTGCATCTAGTATTAATGGGACTTGCCTTTCCAGAAACAGAGAAAGCTTGATGACTATGTGTGTTTAAATTTACACACTTGTTTTGAAAAGCATTTACAAATGCAAGGCTTCCACACCATAAGATTGTAAACTTTAAATTTAAGTTGTAGCATTATCTGATTTTACCCAAAAACAGTGTTGCAGCCATTACTGTGTAAGTGTCTGACTGCTTCTGTTAGTGTGAAAATGACCTTTCCCGTTTTGCATCAGGCTATGTCTCAGCAACAGATCAGCACTTTATTATTTCTACTTATCAGAGGAAAGAGACAGAGGGAGTGAGAAGATGTGGAGGCGTAGGAGATGAGGAGAGGTGAAGTAGATGGAGAAAAGGGAGTTGACAAAATAGAGAGAATTAACTAAATACAGTACATACTAGAGGGATAAGACAAACTGTGAGAGGGAGAGGAAAATATTAGTTATTTCAGGTTGTGTAGGCTGTGCACCATCTCCCTAATGGGTCAGTGCTAAAGAGTGATGGAGAAAGTGAGAGAAGGAGGAGGTAGCAAGTAACAAATGTCAAGGCTGCAGGTCTACAAAGAGAAGGGGGAGATGGAGAGATACAGTGGGGCAGGAGGAGAGACAGAGATAATGTTTTTTGAAGAGGACAAGAAGTCAAAGAGTCATTTACGCTCCACACTTGCTGTCCAAGTGAGGGTACTGAGGGGCTGGAAGGGAGCAAGGAGAAAGACTGAAGATATGATTTGTTCCTCTGCCAGGAGCTTGAGGTTGTTCTATCTGTGCGTACAGCTGCACAGCAGCTTCCGTCCCCACAGAACCACTCTTTGTACTCCTGTAACACGACCATGCAGAAAAGCAGACAGCTTAGGACAGGGCAGGAATCTGTTAGGGATGCTCGACACTATGATGAGCGAGCGGGGAAAAAAAGACGGACCCAGATAGCTGGCTTCGGTGCAAGCAGTGATATTTATTTACAAAGTGAAACAGTGCAATGAGAAGTGGAGAGGTAGTTAGTGGTAACCGGGTGTTGATCAGCGGTAGGAGAAAAAA